TCCTATTTAACGAATGGTGCTGGGTGAACAGGCTGGCAACCTGTAGAACACTGAAACTGGACCCCTACTTTTCACCATTACTCACCATTATTCTCACTGGATAAGAGACTTAAACTTAAGACATGAAATTATTGCAAGGAAAACACTTGACAAAATTGGCCTCGGAGAATATTTTATGAGGACTGCCCAGGCAATTGAAGCAACACCAAAAATACATTACTGGGATCTGATCAAACTAAAAAGCTTTTGCACAGCCAAGAGCGCAATAAGTAAAGCAAACCACACACCTTTTAGTAAGAAGCAACTCGCAGAATTGAGACTAGCATTTACAAAGACCACGTACCCAGACTGTGCTACCATAATGAACCTGGTTTCAAAGTTACATCTTGATGAATCGGTCATAACCACCCAGTTCAAGAAGCAGAGTGTCAGATGAAAGAAGGAGCAGTGGGAGCAGCTATACAGTCTCAGCTAAATGTGACACCAGGAACGTCAGAACAGATTATTTTGTTGAAAGAAGAGGAGACCCCTTTACCCATAAGTGCTGAAAACACTCATCCAACAAGTCCTGGAACTTGAGATGAATCTTACCATGATCCACATGAGCTTTCTGGAGGGGCTGATGCTTCTGTGTTGGATTCATCAGGGGACGCTCAGCCTTTTGATATTCTACAGATAGCTCTGGGGGATTCTAATCCTCCTTGGGCCTCCATTCCCTGTGAAATAAATGAGTTTATGATATTATACAACCTCCTGGGGAAGAAGATCCCAGCACACTAGATCAATATCTTTTCCCGGTGCTTGGTTGTTTGAGGAGCTACAATCTTGAGGTAACTTTTACCATATTTACAGCTCCTGAGAAAGACCTGTGATCCAAATCCTAACCAACCAGGAGACATTTCCAAATACCTGAAATGAGTTGACTCAGTGTAAACAGATCAGAGTCAAGGGCTGTATCTTTTTCTATAAGAAAATAATAAGAAATCCCCTTACCTTTCATCACTGCCTGTGTATTCTATATTCCATTTGAGTGCCTCCTCACCTATACGTCACTAATGAAGCAACAATATGTATTAGTTTACTTTTGTTAGTAGATGATACAGTGTTGCAAATGCTAATCCTCTCTGCTCCCTGGTGTTTATTTTGGACTGTGTAGTTAGCAGCCCTGGCTGTTCCCATGATGTTCCCTTTGCATTGGACAGGAGCAGTGCAGCTGGAGCTAGGCAGTGCCCCCTTGCCACCTCCTGCCTGCAAGGGCCTTGTCCCTCTTTATGTCCTCATTGCACCCAAACATGTCATCCTGGAACTCTCAGGATATCCTCCCCATGTGGCACAAGACTGTAGCACTCTGGGGGCCTGAAGAAACTTCCTGTTCTCCTATAAAGAGCCTGGCACTGTTCCTGAATGCTTTCCCTCCCCGTTCAAGTGAATCTTCTCAACAACCACAGGAGATAATGCTTGAATTGAACCATTATTCTCAGAGCTCTTAAAATTAATAATGGCAGGAAAATCATTAGTTTTTAAAGGAATTCTCCTTGGAGATGTGGAGTTGGGAAGAGTTCTCTTAGGAATAAATACACAGCTAATAAGTTTGACACCTAGCTCTTCCATACAGTAGGTGTGGAATTTTTAAATAAAGCCTGTTGTATCTGCAAATAAAATTGCAACACCTGCTTTTTTCTGACTTCCATTTGCCTGAAATATAGATGATCATCCCTTCACCCTGAGTTTATATTTATCTTTTAAGGTAAGATGAGATTCTTATATGCAGCTAATATCTGGTCTGAGTTTTTGTATCCAGTCAGCCAACCTGTGCCTCTTTAGAGGACAATTTAAGCCATTCACATTAATTGTAAATATTGATAGGCCTGGTAGAATTTGGGGTATTGAGTTTTTCAAAAGTCCAGGGGACATTTTTAATCCTTTTGCCACTGTGGAAGTTGGAATTTGATCAAAAGTTTCTGAGTGAGTTTACTTTTATGGTGGAGGATTGTGCTGGTCATTATGGAGGATAGGTCTGAGAATATCCTAGAGAGCTTGTTTAGTTATGACAAATTTCTTCAACATGTGAATGTCGTTAAAATATTTAATTTCTCCATCATAAATGAAACTCATTTTAGCTGGATACAGAATCCTGGGTTGAAAGTTATTTTGTTTTAGAAGATTGAAAGTCAATGACCACCCTCTTCTAGCTGGAAAGGTTTCAGCAGAGAGATCTGCAATCATTCTAATATTCTTCCTCTTATAGATTATGGTTTTCTTACATCTGGCTGCTTGTAGAATTTTCTCCTTTGTTTTAACTTTGGTGAAGTTAATTATAATGTGTCTAAGAGATGTCTTATTCAGGTTGAGTTTTGCTGGGGTTCTGAAACTGCTATCTGAATTTCAGAATCTCTTGACATGTCTGGAAAGTTCTCCTTCATTATCTCATGAAGTAGAGCATCTGTGCCTTTCGAAGCCACCTTGTTGCCTTTAGGAATTCCTATAAAGCAAATATTAGTTTTCTTCAAAATTATCCCGGAGCTTTCTGAGAGAATGATCTGTTTTTGTTCTCCACTTTTCTTCCCCTTTGAGTGTTTGGGAGCATTCAAAAGCTTTGTCTTTAGTTTCAGATCATTTCTTCTACCTGCTCCATTCTATTACTGAGGGATTCTACTGTATTTCTCAGATCTTTGAGGGCTGCAAGTTCTTATCTCAATATGTCAAAATCTTTGTTGATTTTGTCTTTGAATTC